CCAAACACCGCCAAGTTTTAAAAAAAAGTTTTTTGACCCAATTCACAAAAAAAAAATTTAATCAAAAAAAAAAAAAAAAAAAAAAAAGTGAAGTTGTCTTCTAGAGGAAGTGATCCCAACACATGAGATATGGCTCAGCAATCACACGACACCACAGGACCAGTTGGAAGATCAGAGCTTGTGGTGAAGGAAGGACAACAGCTACCGGCCATTTCTAGGCCCCAAACAAAAAAACAAGTGTCTAAATTCAAAGAATCAAACTCCCTTTCGCTGGCAATAAGCATCGAGCGATAATCACTTGATCTCTTTTGACAATGCAGGTGATTAGCAACGGCTTCAATACACAAAGAACTGTGGCTAAGTCCTGCTGAGGAAAACAGCCTGAGGCGAATGAGGACAAAGGTCTTGATATGGTTGCTTCCTGACACAAATAAGGAAGGAAGGAAGGAGGGAAGGAAGAAAGGAAGAAAGGGAGGAAAATTCAGACAGTGGGTTATTGAGTAAAGTCTATAAATAATTTTCCACACTATTTTGTTTTTTCATAGTCACCCATAAATCAAAAAGTATAGGAAACCCTGTAAAGCTGAGTTCCTGGGTAATGTTTTAGACTACAACAACCATTGCCGCATATTAAAAGTTACTCGAAAGCTTTCCATGTTTTGTGGCTCCGGCAGATTAAAAGTTGACCCACCTGCTTGGAGCGTAATTGCTGTCTACACCCACAGTAAACACCTATAACTAAAGCAAATAGTTGTTTAGCCAACTCTAACCACACCAGTTCAATGCTTTTTTTTTTTCAGAAAGCTTCTGTCATCCACTAATGTGCAAAAACAAAACTGCAATAAACTCTTCTGATGTAGTCCAAACATGACAAAACCAGCATTTATCTCAAAACCCCAAATTAGATAAAAATGCAAACTCACATTCCCCGTTTACGCATCACCTGGTTCGAATGTGAAAGAGGTGTGTGATTTTTTCTCATGCTCACGGTTCTTCCCCTCTGTTTTTGTGCAGCCCCACGATTAGGAGCTGCACAAAAATCTGCTGAGTCAAATTTTCACCACTCTGACAACAATGGAGGTTTGTATTGATAAATAATCCACAGTCAATGCGTGCACTAGCTGGGCTTTTTTCTCCCCACATACGCCTGGATAATCCCTATGCTCCCTGCTGACACTCCCATTGACAGAACATACCTCTGTCTGATAAACAGACAGGACTGAGTCACACAATATGAGAGTTTAAAAAAAAGGGAAATCACCTAAGCTTTGTTTTGGGAATCTGTTTGTAATGACACAAACAGAAACATGTTAGTATCCAAACTGATCATTGTTTTTAAGTCCATGATTCATTTCCTTGCAACATATCAGGAAAATTAATAAGATCCTAGTTTTGGTCTTTGGCACAGTGTTGCCTGTCACTGCTTTACATTCCCCTTATCCTCACATTCGCTTAGACATAGTTATGCTGTGACTGTGAAGATGGGTTCAAAGTTTAATGATGTCACTAACATAGCAAGCATTCCTTTCAGCGCCTTAAACAAGTCTGTGGATCCTTGAGAGCTGTCCGCAAATAATGAAGGGACATATCAGGAAATAACTGATTATCGTTCATATTTTCCTAAATATCTACTTGCACTTTATGTTTGTGTCGTATTTTAACAGGAACATTGGTGTTTGTTCCATTTCAACAGCTGGTCTGTCCTATTTAGATCCCAGGTATTCGAGCAGATTATCAACAACTAGACTTTTAAAAACTTTTTATCATAGTGTTTCTAAGGTTTAAATCATTTTAATGAGCTAATGATGAGTATTTACAGTTTTCCTTTGGCTGTGTAGAGCATAGAGAAGCTCAGCCCCTCATCTCCCCTCACTTACTGCTGTAATCTGCCAGTAAACTGCCTGAAAAATGATCACAGCATAGCAGGTAAAGCGATACTACTCACCATGTTTTGTTAAGATAACGTTTAAAAACTACAGATAGCAAATTACACGGTCGTTAACGAGCCAACTGCAGAGTGCCCAACTGAGTAAACAGATAAGATCAGCCTTCAAGACTTTAATTACTCTAAAAAGAACAGAACAGCAAAGCAGTGCAATATTCTGCACTTAAAGCACTACAAGGCCGACAACACTCTTCAGTGTGGACTATGTTAGTGAGTGAAGCAGACTCAAAGCAAGCTATTTTCAGTGTCAGTAAGATGTTTGAAACAGTCAGAAGCCAATGAAGAAATTATGGACAGGAAATAAAGAACAACACGCATCACTTTTTAAGATACAACTTATTTAAAACCAGGCTAGTTACTTGAGCTGGTAGCCTGATGTAATAATCCAGTTATAGAGAGCAGAGAGTTAAAAAGGTATACAAGAAAAACGTTTTAAAAACACATGTCATCCGGTGGTTATGTTATCATGTAACACATTTTGAATTGTCTTGTTGCTGAATTGTGCAATATAAATAAACTTGATAATTTAGTTTGTTTTTTTTGTTTTTTTTTTCATGAGGCTTTAAAAAAATAATTAGAAGAAAATGTTACAACTTCATAGCTCTACCAGTAAATGTTTCTATTTAGAGGCAGAGAGATTAAATACTTCTCTCTTTCAGATCATGTCATAAAGTGAAAACGTTCTATTTTTATTCACATCAAACTATTTAATAGTTATTCACTGTAAATGAATAACGTCAGAGTAAATATTTGAATTTTTGAAAAACATAAACTGCATGGCCAAAGAAGTGACATTTAATCTACCACGGCTGGACTAGACTGAAAACTAAGGGCCACAAGGGCACAATGATTACTAGTAGACATCAGTATAGCTTAATTAAAAATATTGAGCGAAATAATAGGGTGCAGCCTCTCTCTCTCTTTCTCTATGAGAATGTAGTTTAAACATCTGAAAAAAAAGTCAGACTTACAGCTTAAAAAGTCACTCATAATGAAAAAATGTTATACAAGCATCACTGCTTTTCTAAGTTTGCTAAGTGAGAGTAAAGAAGGGAATGTGGTTCTATTGTTATGCGGCTGAGTGAAGGTATGCTGTCACACTGGAGCAGTTTCTACGAAACTAACTGCAGAAAACGAGAATCGAGTTGTACGAGTTGTGAAATTTTTATATCAGGAATTGTTAAGCACAAACAAAACATTTACTAAAAACGTTTCACTCACCTTTCATCCAGTCGACAACTTGTTTTGGCGTCCACTTTGTTATCGGCTCCATGGCTTCTTAAGTAACAAAGTCAAAGACAGAAGAAAAATAAAACAAAAAGGTGACGGCGCCGATAAAAAAAAAAAAAAAAAGTATTAACTTTCAACTCTCCCCTGTCATGTTCTTCACACGAGCACAGCGACTTTAGTCTGTTTGCGTTCACTCACTAAACAACTCTGAACAATCACGCATGACTGGAGGCTGGACTGACTAAGACTGACATCCCCCACAGCTCCTCTCTGCCCGGGTAGGGATTGATGGTGCCTTCAGGGACTCCAGGAAAAAACACAATTTATGTGAAGAAGAATTTTCAAGCAAAAAAAAAAAAAAAAAAAAAAAAAAAAAACAAAACAAACTTTACCAGTTCGCTACGTCTGATGTAGTGTTTTTCACAATGTAATATATTTTGTACTGATTTAGTATTTTTCAGCTCCTCGCTGCCCAGAGTGGGACCGATGCTGCCTTCATGGTCTGCTGGAAGGAAAAAACGCAATCTGTTTACAGAAATGCCTTCTAGTAAGCGGTCATTATTCAAAGGTAGATTCCTTTATATGTTTTAGTTTATGTATGATTTTTTAGTTTTATTTTACACCGACACAAATTCTAATTATATTTCATACCACATTACTTTTTAATCTATGGAAGACTGAAACAATACTAATCTTTCAATAAAAGAAAATACATCCAGACCAGAGAACACGAAAACAAATCTTTGAACAAATCTTTATACTAAAACAAATGCTATAGAAAGCACTCTGTAGGATGTATTCAAGCTTTAAAACGATTATTTTATTACTTTTGAGGAAAACAAAATAATAAGTATATCTGAGATTTGAGAACAAGGGCTGCGTAAACATAACTTTTACATGATAATAATAATAATAATAAGGTGTCTAAAGTGAAGCTAGTTAACTCTATGTCTTCATAATTTTGCTCTTTATGATACAACCCTCCTCCCCTCACAAAAAAAGTAATAGTAAAATAAAATAAAAATAAAAACAGACGATCAAATGACTCACTACTGACCTCTACTGGTACATGATGATGTTGTAACACACTGCTTCGCTTTGCCAAAATGAAATAAAACCTTGACGCAATCCACAATGACTGTAATTGTTGCTCCTTTCATATGACAAAAAAAAAAAAAAAAAAAAAAGAATATTTAAAGCTTTATGAGTAATACAAATTTTCAAGCAGGGAAACTTCTTTTGAGTTCTGAAAACATTTTCGTTGGTGTTCTATGAAGAGCTCTGGGAATCTATAGACATGGTCTGCAACTCCTGTCCTTGAGTGTCACTAGAGTGCCATACTCCAGTGTACCTGAATCAAAAAGATGAATTACTGGCCCATCTGATCAATTGTCTGTGCCTTGACTATGTCAAGAAGCGTGAGGCAGAGACCGTTAGATTTGATCTAGACATTCTCACCCATATTTTTTTTTTCTGTTCAACTCAGAATCTCTGCAACAGCTTTTTATTTTCTACAACTATTGTCAGATGCTCTTGTGGGATTGTGCCTCATTTAACTTCGTTCATCTTCTCTTCAAAGCTTCTCTGTCCTGACAGAAAGGAGGCATTCCCACATCCTGATATCTGCAAACTACAAACAGGACTGCATATATATTTCCTCTTTGAATTTCCCTTTTTCAAAGCCACAAAAGAACCACCTCTTTAAAAGAAGTAAATCTTTCTCAGATTCCTCATTATTTTCCAGAAGGCTGAAACACACCTTACAAACTGGGAGAAAGTCCCTGTCCTTTCCATCATTCAACTATCACACAGCTGCACTATGATCAGCTCCAGATGAAAGCTCTACTGTTGTTGCTGTCAAATGTGCAACACATAGCAGTGCTGAACAGAAGAAAACACACAGAAGTCTTGAGTTGCCTGTCTTTTTGGTGCTCACAAGAAATAGAATTAAGACCCCTTTTTTTAATCAACAATGTTTTAATACCCTTATTTTACATCAAACTGGAAATGCAAAGACGCAGTTTTATCAGCAGAGTAAAATAAAACAAGCCACTTTTAATCTCATTTTAGATAAGATTTACAGTATTTTGGTTCAAGTTGTTGCTAGGCGTTACTGATTGTACTGGACAGGGTCAAATCCTGCCATTGAATTTCTAAAGGAGTGGTCTGGAGTTATGGGGCTTAAGGTGGAGTGGAATTCCAAGGAGGGCCTCATGATAGGATTAAAGGAATCATGGGATCGCTGTTAAGGTGAGGCAGATGGGTGGAAATGGTGCTTTGTCTCACATGAAAAACAGCATGATGGAAAAGGGTTGAAACAGGACAAAAAAAAAAGGAACATTTGTGAGTTAGGAGATCACACAGTAGACTCCTAACTCTCCTCTCATAAGACACAATTGTTGTCTGCATAAACATTTATTAGTTGTTCCCATTACATGACAGAAACAGGCTAACAGTTTCATATAAACAAAAGCAGACACATGAAAGAGCAGCAGAGGAAGTAATCCACTTTTCTGTGTGAGACGACAGGATGTAAGGAGCTTGAGAGAGTTGCGTCAGTGAGAACGAGTCCAACTTCCTGCCTTTGGCAGGTTTGCTGACTAAACACTGAACAGATTCACAGAGGGTGGAAAAATGTTAAATAACTTGCAGCTAAAACCTCTTATTCCACTCGATTGGGCCATGTCAGTGTGGGTGGCCATGTTATATTTCCTAAAAAAATAAGAACAAAGAAACAAGAAACACAGATCCAGGCACATAGGATGGCATTTGGCATCAAAATGGGGATGTGCCCTTAGATGTTCATTACAAAATGAAACACAAGCTTTGACCTGTCGGGTAATCATATATTTACAGCTGAATCAGAAAATACTGATGATCCTTTCATCTGATGAGTAGAATGAGAGTATTCATGACATGTTAAACCCCACAAAAATATATTTCTGGGATTTTATGTGATAGACCAACACCAGGTAGTGTATAATTCTGAAAGGACAGATAATAATTTTGTTTGGTTCAAAAAAAAAAAAAGAAGAGAAAAAGTGTTGCTTCCTTTTGTTTTCAGATCCCCTTGTATTGACTCTCCATGTGTTTAGGTTTTATTTAGTTATAACAATAATGCAAGTCACCATTTTTAACATTTTATTTGTAAAAAGCAAAAACAACAACAACAACAACAACAACAACAACAACAACAAAAATCTTTTTCCTTCTATTTTGGAATTATACACTAATCTCTGGTGGTCAATCACATAGAATCAAAGTAAAATACTTTGAGGTTTGTAGTTGTATTGTTGCAAAGCATCAAAAATAATGACAATAATTTGAACCTTAATCTCTTTTATTAAGCATTTAGATAATAGGTTGCTTCAGTAAGAAAACATTAAAACTTCTACGTGTGACTCCTGCATACATGGAGTTACAACTTCTAACATAGTGCATACTTTTGGGTGAAGAGCTTGACATCACAATAATACACAATAATACATTGATAGGAAGGCTCATGGGGCATTTTGTGGATTCGAAGGAACGCTGGGCCTGGTGTTGAGGTATTCCAAAACAAAAACCTGAAATATCTTGTTCAGGTTCTGAATTGTGGAGCGATCCAGGTTTTCTTCGTTGTCGTCAAATGTGTGCCACACAGACGGGAAGGGGTAGGGTATGAGGTGGAGGATCCGAACACCTAAATTAGATAGAGAGGGGCACAGAATTAGGTTAAAAAAAAAAAAAAAGAAAAATATAGAAGGAAAGTGACCATAAACTAACTGGAAGGCAAGGTTGTTCTAATGCGGCTGGTACAGACCTCTGTTTAGGAACGGTATATGATCGTCAAGAATACGGCCGACTGGACGATCAGGCCAGAAGTACTGCACACTGTTAGGATGCTCAACAAGCTGGTTCATAGAATGCAGACGTTTTTCTGAGTTCAGAAATGGAAAGAAAACGAGAGAAAATGTGCAACTGTTCAGTTGAAGAAAATTAATTTATCTTTTAAATGAATTACTTTATTAGGGGTGTTTGGATACAGTCTGATGCCACCTAAGCTGGGCCGCCAGGAGGAGCAAAGTAACTTATAGGGGCTGCAGAGATAAACAGCTCATGTAGGAGAATCCAGCTACAGGTTAACTAATAGTTGTATAATCCACAAATCTGGCCTTATTTTGAAGATAAAAAATAATTGTTGGAAAAAAAAAAAGCCACAAGTCGTCCTCTCTACTGAGTGCATACAATATGCACCGTAGTGCATCTTTTATCATCATAATACTGCGTTCAAGGAGAAACCCCAGATCTTCATTTGTTCGACATGTTTCAGATGATTCTGCAAGTTGCTGTTTTTATCTGCCAAAGTTCATTTGTGTTGACATCTTTGCTATGCACCTGAACAGGTTCAGGTGCATAGCAAAGATATAATCTATTATTCTACTTTACTAAAAAAAAAAAAAAAAAAAAAAAAAAATTAAAAAAAAAAAAAATTAAACTTTTTAATTTTTTTTTTCCTTTAAAAACAAAAAATTGGGGGAAAACTT